AGAGATTTTATTTCTTTGGTCATATGCATTATTCGATTCACAGCTTGGTATCTAGTTGCCATGCGGCAAATATTTACGGAATGAAAGGAATGATGAAATGTATGTATGATTAACCCCAAGTTTACTGATGAGAAAAACCAAGTCTGATATTCAAATATTAATTTAGTCAACATTGACGAAGCCTCTACCACAGGCCGTGCCCAGGCCCTGGGATGTTAGGTGGTGGAATTCTGTAGAACTTGAGAGGGCCGTGAGAATTGGCGTGACGTCTCTCTAGATGTGATGTGATAGACGCCAATTCAGGTTTTTCATTACGGAAAAGTTTACACCAGGATCTGATGAAAGGTGGGTAAGATTTTAGGGGCGTGGGGAGCTGGAAAGCAGTGGAGTTATTCCACTAGTGGTTCTCAACCCCGGCTGCGTATTAGAATCTGCTGGGAGCTCTTAAAACTTCTGACATCCAGGCCACATCCCAGACAATTAAATCAGAGTCTCTGAGGGTCAGGCCTGGTGATGAGCATTTTTAAAGCTTCCAGGTGATTCCAATGGGCAGCCGGGGCTGAGAACCACTGTGTTAGATGGGCAGAGGCGTGCGGGTGGCCCCTGTTGTCTGAGGGTAATGAGTATTGGGAAATATTCCCTTGAGTGAATATACTCAAATTGTTGACAACTCTGGTAATTAGGGGATTTGGAGACTCACTGCTGTTTTGTTTCATGCTCAGTGTTAAAGTCTTACTTCCCATACTTACAAATACATATAATAGAGCATATCTAATAAAACATACACTGTGGACTCTGGGGCTGGGCTGCTGGGATTTGAACTCCCGCTTAGTAGCTGTGTGTCCTTGAATAAGTCATTCAAGGGCCGGCCGAGTGGTGCGATGGTTAAGAACTGGCTTGGAACGCCAGAGGGCCCCGGTTCGGATCCCACATATGAGGGCCTGTGACGCTGCCCTCCACAGCTAAGATGCTGAACAGCAGCTCAACCTGGAGCTGGGCTGCTGTGAGTCGCCGGCGACGGCATAGGCTGCAGCCCCTTTGGCAGTGGGTTGCCATGGGCTACCGTGTGTAGCCAGCAGCCAGCGTGAGCGGCCAGCCAGAAGCCGGCGACTGATCTGCCTCGCCCGGGAAGAGCACAATGATGGTGCCAACTTGGGCCAGTGAAGCAACGTCCTCCACAACTAGATTGAAGAACAAAAAGACAGCAACTTGTCTGTTCCCCTTCCCCTAATCCCCCAGCACTGTTCCCATCCCCCCAATTCCCCAATAAAAATCTTAAAAAAAAAAAGTCATTCAAGCTCTCCGTACCTCACTTTCCTCCTCTGCAAAATGGGAAAACGTTGTGATCTGCTTCATAGGGCTATTGAAGTGTTCAATGAGTTAGATCATGTAAAGATCTTGGAATAGGGCCTGGCGCAAAGTAAGTACTCAATGAGTGTTGGCTATTATTATTCATGAATAAATAAGCTGGAAAACCAACATTCCTTGAACATTTGACATACATCACAAACTGGATTAAATTCCCTTGAACAATATAAACTGCAATTATAAATTTTAGTAAAGCTTATTCTTTTGAATATTTCAAGCATATTAAACAGCAGACCAAATATATTCAAATTCATTGTGAATGAAACTTATGAATACTCTTATACCAAGATCAGTTACAGAAGTGCTGACCTCATAGAATTTACTTTATTTCTTGTTCATATTTTTAGAAAATTATAGATAGAAAATTCATAGATAAAACAACAGATATTACATTATCTGAACACCAGAGAAAAAATAGACTGAATAAATGAACAGAGCCTCAGGCATCGGTGGAATTATAACAAATGGTCTAACATTTGTGTCATTGAAGTTCTGAAAAGAGAGGAAAAATAGGATAGGGCATAAAAGTATTCAAAGAAATAATGGCTGAAAACTTCTCAAATTTGGCAAAAGAATAAATCTATAGACACAAGAAGCTGCATGAACTCCAAACAGGATAACTATAACAAAAAGGTATCCACACCAAAATATAACAGTCAAACTTCTGAAAACTGAAGACAAAGAAAAACACCTGGAAGGCAGGTGTGAGAGAGAAGTGACACCTTCCCTCTAGCAGACAAACACAAGCTACCACAATGTGCTTACTATGAAGTAGCTAATTCAAATAGCCCTGTAACCATTAAGGAAATTGAATTTACAACCTTCCAAGAAAGAAACCTCTAGGCCTAGATGGTTTCACTGAGGAATTCTACCAAACACTTAAACAAGAATTAACACCAATTCCACACAATCTCTTCTAGAAAATAGAAGAGAACAATTCCCAATTCATTTTATGAGGCTAGTATTATCCAGATAATAAAACCAGACAAAGACAATGAAAAAGTGAAAACTACAGACACTGTCCCTCATGGTTATAGATGTGAAATTAATGAAATATTAGCAAATAGAATTCAACCAAATATAAAAATATTTACACATCATGACCAGGTGGTATTTTCCCCTGGGATACAAGGCTGTTTCAAGATTTGAAAATGTAATCCATCATATCAATAGGCGAAAGAAGAAAATTCACTTGATCATATCAGTTGACATGAAAAAAAAGCATTTGATAAAATTCAACACCCATTCATGATAAAAACTCTCGGAAAAATAGGAACAGATGGGAACTTTCTCAATTTGATAAGGAGGATTTACAAAACGCAGCTAACATTATACTTGATGAAAGACTGGATGCTTTCTAAGATTGTGAACCATGGAAGAATGTTCATTCTCACACACTCAACCATTGTGCTTGAAGTTCTAGCAAGTGAAATAAGGTAAGAAAAATAAATAAGGGACTTACAGGTCAGAAAGGAAGAAATAAAATTGTCCTTACTGTAGACGACATGATCGTCTATGTAGAAAGTCCCAAGGATTTGACAAAAAAAAACCAACCCCTCCTAGAACTAATAAATAGATTGAGCAAGGCTGCAGGATACAAGATAAATGTACACAATTCAATTTTATTTCTCTATACTAGCAGTGAGCATATGGACACTGAAAAATAGAATACCATTTACATTGCTCAAAAATGTAATACTTATGTATAAATCTAACGAACTATGTATAGGACTTTTAGGCTGAAAACTACAAAATGCTGATTCAAGAAATCAAAGAAGACCTAAATAAATGGAGAGATGTACTATGTTCAGGGATAGAAGACTCAACATAGTAAAGATGTCAATTCTCTTCAAATTGATATGAAGGTTTAATGCATCCCTACCAAAATCCCAGCAAGAATTTTGGGAGGTATAAACAAGCTTACTCTAAAAATTAACATAAAAATTCAAAGGAGCTAGAAAAGCTAAAATAATTTTGAAAAAAAAAAAAGAAAATGGGAAGAATCAGTCTCCCCAGTTTAAAGACTTTTTATATAGTTACAGTCATTGAGACTGTGCTATTGGTAGAGGGACAGACAATTACATCAATGGAATAGACTAGAGAATCCAGAAATAGATCCACCAAATATGCCTGATTGATATTTGACAAAAGTGCAAAAGCAATTCAATGGAGTACCAATAACTTTTTAAACAAATGATGCTGCAGCAATTGATCAATGATAGGAAAAAGAAAAATTGGGAAAAAGAAAAAAAAGAACCTCAACTTGAGTCTCACACCTTGTATAAAAATTAACTTATGAACTTAAATATAAAAATTAAAACTAAACTATCAAACTTTTAAAAAAAATGTGAGAGAATCTTCAGGATCTAGGGCTATGCAAAGAGTTTGACACCAAAATAATGATCTAAAAAACAGAAAAAAATGATAAATTTAACTCCACCAAAGTTATAAACATTTACTCATGAAAGCCTTCAAGAAGATGAAAAAAACAAGCTATAGACTGGGAGAAAATACTTGCAAACAACCTATCTGAGAAACAAGATTATTCTAAAATTTTGCATAAAAATTCAAAGGAAATAGACTAGCTAAAATAATTTTGAAAAAGGAGACTCTGACAAAGGACTGGTATCTAGAATATATAAATTACTCTTAAAACATCACAGTAGGAAACAAACAGTCCAATTAGAAAATAGGCAAATGACAGGAAGAGATCACTCATCAATGAGGATATACAGATGGCAAATAAAGCCATGAAAAGATGTTAAACATCATTAGCCATGAGAAAAAAAATACAAGTTAAAACCGCAATGAGATATCGCTACACCCCTATCAGGATGGCTAAAATAAAAACCAGTGACAACACCAAATGCTGGCAAGGATGTAGAGAAACTGGATCACTCGGACATTGCTAATCGAAATGTACAATGCTACTCACACTTTGGAAAATAGTTTGGCAGTTTCCTAAAAAAACTAAGGATGCAACGACCATACAACCCAGCAATTGAACTCCTGTGCGTTTATCCAAGAGGAAGGAAAAGACCCCTCCAAACTCTGCCCTGCAGATGTCTCAGCCGCCTTGGGAGAAAGTAAGAATGACAGCATCGATGGCAGTAATGACAATAATTCCCACTGAACGCTTGCTCTGTGCCAGGCGCTCCGCTAAGGACGTTCAGGGCATCGTCTCATGTAAACGTCCCCACAGACTCCTCGTCTGGCAGCGACCGTTTCTATCATCACCCTCCACTTCTGGATGAGTAACCGCGAGGCTCAGGGACCTTGCTCGAGCCCACGCAGCCACCACGTGGCAGAGCCAGGATTTGAACCCTTGGTGAGACAAGTAAGTGCCGTAGTCCTCACATTGTCCTCGTTTCACATGCGAGTCAACAGCGGCGGGGAAAGATGAAGGCAGTCGCCCCAGGCCACGTAACTGGAAAGTCGCCAGGCTTAAACCCGAGGCTCAGCCGCCTTGGGGGCTGGAGTCCGGTTCCGTGGTTCTTGTGCCTAACTTTCCCGGACCTGTTTCACCCAATCCTCGGGGAGCAGGCACCACCCTTTTCCTCCCGGAGGAGTAGGGAGAGGGCCGGTCCCCCAGCGCAGTCCCCTCCCTGGGCCCTCCCCCAGGCTTTAAGTCGGCGGCGCTGGGGGCCGGGAGCCGGCAGTCTCGGGCTGGCGCGCTCCCCCGGCGATCGCGCAGATGGCGCTGGCGGCCCTGGCCAAGAAAGTGTGGAGCGCGCGGCGGCTGCTGGTGCTGCTGGTGACGCCGCTCGCGCTGCTGCCGGTGGTCTTCGCCCTCCCGTCCAAGGTAACGCCTCCTCTGCCTGTGCGGCCCCCATCCCGCTTCCCAAACCTCTGAAGCCGGGGACCCCTGAGGTCCCAGTCTAGACGGATTTCACCAAATCCCCCCCCCATCCACCCTTTTACCCCTTTGATCCTGCCTCGGGTTGCCGTGAACACCCCTTTCCCAGCTGCTCCCTGGAGCCCGAGTCACACACCCCAGCCTTCGGGGTCGTCTCACTTCTACAGGAATGATGTCTCTTTATTGAGCTCTAACTTCGTGTTTGGCATCGTGTTTGCACCTTTCACTTGATAATCACAAACACTGATGAATGCGACGCTGTGTGACCTGGGCAAGTCGCTTAACCTCTCTGAACTCCAGTTTACTCATATGTAAAAACAGGGGAAATGATAGTGTCAATCCATAGGTGGTGGTGAATAGTAAATGAAGCAATACAGTTATGAGCCACATAAGCCTAATGATGTTTTGCGGTCAATGACGGATGCCGTATACGACGGTGGTCCCATAAGATTATTATAATGGAGCCCCAAAATTCCTATTGCCTCGTGACATGTAACTATCCTGACATTGTAGTATGAACATTCCTGACACGTTTGTGGTGATGCTGGTGTAAAAACAAACCTACTGCGTTGCCCGTCGTATAAAAGTATATAGCACATACAATCACATACAGTATGTAATACTTGATAATAAATGACTATGTTACTGGTTTATGCATTTATTATACTATACTCTCTAGTGTCATTTTACAGTGTACTCTTTCTACTTATATACAAAAAGTTTGCTGCAAAACAGTATGTCGTGCTAGCCAGCTGGGGCCCATACAGCTCGTATTTACGGCATCTCTTGACTGCATCATATTCTACTGTGTTTAATTTAACCTCATGATGTTTTGTACAGTAACATGCTGTACAGGCTTGTAGCCAGGGAGCAATAGACTAGACCATCCAGCCTAGGTGTGTCGTAGGCTAGACCATCTAGGCTTGTGTAAGTGCGCTCTGTGATGTTCGCACGATGCAATTGTCTGAAGACGCATTTCTCAGGACACATTCCTGTTGTTAAGTGGCTCTGACTGTATATGCAAATCTCTGAGAACTGAGTTTGGTATACAGTAAGTGCCTAGTCACGCACTGGTGGGTCTTAGCCCAGGCGCCTTGTGTGGTGGGGACAGTCATGTTTAAAATGAAGGCTTACTAGGAGCAAGGGGCAGCGCTAAGCGTTGCCTTGCGAGCATCATCTCCTTTAATCCTCTCAGTGCCCCTCAGAGGGAGAGGATTATTTATCCCATTTTTCAGAGAAGAAAAGTGGGGCTCAGAGAGATGAAGTAACTTGCTCAGATTCACACAGCAAGCAGCTGAGTGGGGGTTCAGTCCCTAGCTTGTCAGAATCCAGAACCTTAGCTTCTTCTAGACTCTCAAAGAAAGTCTAGAAGGTCAAAGGCTGCCGACTGATGTCAAGGGTATCATGATGAAAATCAGCACCAATGGGAGCTGGAAGCAGACTGTACCGAAAGTCGTTCTTGGTTCCCTCACCTGTGCCCAGCTCATTCGGGGCATCATGGGAGGGTACTATCTCCAGAAGTTGCTTCACCATTCCTCAATGAGATATTAAGTGTTCATAAAAGTAACGAGAGGGTGTAATTTAGTGGTGCATTGCCCAGCACCCACCGGCAGAGACCACAAGAACTGGGGCAGGTGGTCAGAGAGGGCTGCCTGGAGGAGGGGGCCCTCCTTGGGCCTAGGGAGTGAAGAGGTGATACTAGGTGATGCCACAGACATGCAGGGCTAATATACAAGCAAGTCCTTTCGTGTGGAAGTATACAAGCTGTTAGACTTTCTGGACACGGAAGAGAGAAACAATAAATGCTGGAATAAGGATTAGGTCACTTTTTCAAAAACCATGCCATCCTAGGCCACTTGTGAATCTCGAGACTTTGGACCAACCCCCTTTCTTCTTTGAATCTCACTTACTTTTCTGTAAAATGGGACGATCACCATGTTAGTTTTGAGAATCGATGTGAAGGGCTGAGAGAGGAAGTCTAGTTTCGAGAATCGAAGTGAAAGATTGAGAGAGGAAGTCTAGTTTCGAGAATAGATGTGAAGGGTTGAGAGAGGAAGTCGCCTCCCTTTGTGAAGGGTCACTGGTGGAAGGATGGATAGGTCTGTGAGGTCCCAGGCGGGGTTCTGGGGAAGAGATGAGGCACACAGGGCCTCTCTCCTTAGCAGGGGGTTCTGGAAGCTCCTCTCTCTCTCTCTCTGCTGTGCCCTCTAGCAAGATGTGTGAACCCAGGGGCAGGCCCAGGTGCCTGAAGTATTTCAGAGGCTCTGTTTAAGAAAAAGCATATAGATGTACAAATACAAAATTCAGTATGGGGCTTTGGAGGGGGTCTGAGCTGCACACGTGAACGCTGGCATGCCCAGATAACATCACAGAATACAGGTAACCCCCTGCAGTGGTGGTAGCCAGATGAGCAAGGTGTTAATTGAATGCTAAACTCTTACTATGTTCCAGGCACCAGGCTAAGAGCTTAGCAGGCATTGTCCTATAGAATGTCCACATAACCAGGGAGGCAACTGCTGTTAGCATCCCTACTGAACAGGTGTGGAAATGGAAGCTCAGCAAGGTTAGGTGGCTTCCTCAAGGTCACACAGCATTTACAAGGCCAGAACGTGGGGCCTGTACTTCTGACCATTGTACTTTACACTCTTCCTGATGTTATAAATGAGCAAAAACCTCTCCTGGTTCACTACAGATCCCTGGTGGGGAACCTTTGTGCAGCCTTAGATGTCACTGACTCTTTAAGTGGCTGACAAACCAGGGCCCCCTCCAAGGAGGCAGATCTCTTTACTTGGGAGATTTTAGCCTCCTTCAAAATCTCTATCAGCATACTTGAAGCCCCCCTCACCCATATTATATATAACTACATATATAATATAACAAAGGTCAGACAATTAAGCTCGTGAACTCATCCTAGAAAAAGTGCTACACACCTCATTGCTGAATATCACTACGGTCACCTGTGAAGTACTCCCCTTGGGAAGCTATGCACTGACGCCAGCGCCTAGTCCACCCTTCAAAGCAATTTAGGAACTCTTTTTCTGGAATGGCCATCAGAGCTGTCATCGTATTACCCTTGATGTCCTGAATGTCATCAAAGTATCTTCCTTTCCGTATTTCCTTTATCTTTGGGTAAAGAAATAAGTCATTGGGGGCCAGATCAGGTGAGTAGGGAGGGTGTTCCAATACAGTTATTTGTTTACTGGCTAAAAACTCCCTCACAGACAGTGTCGTGTGAGCTGGTGCATTGTCGTGATGCAAAAGCCATGAATTGTTGGCGAAAAGTTCAGGTCTTCTAACTTTTTCACGCAGCCTTTTCAGCACTTCCAAATAGTAAACTTGGTCAACTGTTTGTCCAGTTGGTACAAATGCATAATGAATAATACCTCTGATATCAAAAAAGGTCAGCAACATCGTTGCAACAAATTCGTGAACTTAATTGTCAGACCTCATATATACAATTACCATTATTATATTCTTGGATGTTAATAGCTGACATGTTTCTCAACCTATGTAAGTGCAATATGAATAAAAGCATCCTTAGAGAACATTGAACAGAAAGCAGTGCTGTTTTTATTGATCTGTGACATACATTTAAAGCAAACAGAGTGGATTTGCTGTGCAAACACAGCTTCAAGACAATCCCTGTAATCTTAATCAGTTTTAACCCTGCAATAACTTCTCCAAACAAAGGCTGGTGGTCTGACAAAAATATTATGCTGGCTATGCAAACGTAGCTCCTCAGTGTCCGCCCCCCTGCGCCCACTCCCCCGCCCCACCCAACATCAGATTGCCACTTCTAAGCCTCTCTCACATAGAAATTCTGGTAGCACCAATGCAGGTTGTATTGTACGTGTGGGTTCTGAAAAACGTTTGCAAAACTGCTGATAGCAGCTCAGGATAGAAGCCTGAGATGCTGGGGCGTTTGCCATTTGTCCCTTGTTGAGCCTGGTTTCCCAGCTGGATGATGCCTCCAGGCCACTGCTGCTCTGAGGCTCTAGGATTCTCATTGGTCAAAAGGGTTGGTCCTCATGCAACTGTCCCCTGGCGACTGGTGAGCTGGCCTGCGGGGAGGCTGGGGTTAATCTGAAGGGCAGATCCAGGGGGAACAATTCTTACATTATGTCCTCCTGGCTTGGAATGCCATCAGCAGGGATGAAAGGGAGTGGGATGCACTTCTAGAATGCAGTGGTTGCAATTTCCAGCGCCCCTGGGGATCCAGACTTAGGAAGGCAAAGGACGCTGCCAGAGGGACCCCCTCAAAGTTTTCCAAAAATGACCATCTTGGGATTTGGAGGTTTGCGGGACTGGCCTGGGACAGCTGGCAGGGACAGAAGAGACTATTAAAACAAAGCTTGCAAATAAGCAGCGTCCCCATGTGCTTGCAGAGAAGTCTTGCCCCTTTCCCACCTTGCACCCAGTGAAAGCAAACGTAGTTGGACTGACCATCCGGCCAGGATGAGTTCTTACAGTGGGTTCTCCCAGGTGACTCTTTCTAAGGATGCTTTAAGGAGGAGGAGTTTGGGGGTGCTCTAGGCAGGCCTGCTACACAGTGTTGTGCAGGCTGTGCATAGCACAAGGTGCCTGGAGGAGGCAAAGTGAGACTGAACCAACCTATACTCCACATGCTGAACCCTGCACCCCAGGGCAGGGCTGGATTACCTGAGGAAGAACCTCTTTTCCTTATTTGCACAAAGGTGTCAAGTGTGGCTAGCAGCAGACTTGTTCTCGGGTGATGGATCTTTTCAGGGAGTGGTGGTGTACCTATAAGACCAGAGGCCCACTTTTTTGTTGCCTAATTCTCGAGCTGGGGCATTTAGGTGGGTAACGAGGAAAACGGACATTTCATTCCCAGTTTTGAGTCTTTGGAATCAGAACTGGATTCTCATTCCACATGCTTGTTCTGAGACCTTGGACAAATCATTTTACTTCTCTGGGCCTCACCATAA